GACTAGACCAACCATTGGCCTGATCCAGCAGGCTCTTTATGTGTTATTCTTTTTTGCTGTTATTTATTTATTTAGATGGTTTATACCCTGCATTTCAATTGTGTTACTCTCAAGGTGTCAGGAGAGGGTAAGCAAGCTCTCTGCAGCTGCTCTTTCACTGTCCAGTGGATGGGACCAGGTTAATCTCTCCTCTTTGCCATGATCTTCCAGAGGCTCCAGGTCCCCTGGAGTGTGGAGTGGAAAGAACCCCGAGTGTGCATCCCTTTGTTTTCAGCACAAGGGCACCAGCCTTTTATTTGAGTCTACCACATGCACCCTCTCAGTTGAGCTCAACAGCATCGATCTCATGGGATGTGTGGCCAGTGGCGTAGGAAAGGGGGGCAGAGGGAGCGCACCGCCCCCGGCACCATCTCTGGCAGGGTGACAAGAGGGCACCCCACGGGGTGGCAAAGGCCACCGCCTCCCCAAGGCATACCATCCCCACCCACATCTGCTCTTGCTCTAACCACCACTGCCTCAGAGTCATTGCTGCTGTCTCGGGAGGAATGGGATGGGGTGTGGGTGGCACGTGTGGGCGGAGAGAGGGAAAGAGAGAGTGACTTGCCCAGCTCTCCCTCTCTTGCACACCCAACGCCTGACTCTTCTGATGGAGCAGGGCAAAGGGCTGGGCGCGTGAGGCAGAGGGAGAGAGCAGAGCCCCGCAGATGTTTGCGGCACCGTCAGCAAACCACCCGTACGAGCGGCGGCTGCAGCCGCGAGCAGATGATCCCGCCGCTTAACGGATGGCACGCACATGTGCCGTACGTAGTGGTGCCATGCATACACCATACGGTTGGTTTGCCCCGCCCCAGGTATCGTTCATGCTTCGTTCACCCCTGCCAATCACTGCCTTGAGTTTCATGATGGAAGAAAGGTGTAATATAAATGTACAGTTGTACCTCGGGTTAAGAACTTAATTCGTTCTGGAGGTCCGTTCTTAACCTGAAACTGTTCTTAACCTGAGGCACCACTTTAGCTAATGGGGCCTCCCACTGCTGCCATCGCTTAAATTTCTGTTTGAATCCTGAAGCAAAGTTCTTAACCCGAGGTACTATTTCTGGGTTAGCGGAGTCTGTAAGCTGAAGCGTCTGTAATCTGAAGCGTCTGTAACCCGAGGTACCACTGTACTCTATCATTCAGTTTCCCCCCTTTTTGAGAGCTGTATTGTAGAACAGATTTTAAGGTTGTAATTGTAACTGAGTCATTAAACCCGGCTGCCCAGGTACACACACAGAAAGAGAGGCATGTGCAGACTAGCGCTAGTCTCCATGGCATTTCCATATCTCTCTGCATATCCTTACAACATAGACAAAATAAGTATTCAATTAGTCACATCCATGCATGTGATACTAAAATGGCTCAGGTTATTGATTAGACTTGCCTCCATTTTCTGATAAGAAATATGAGATTAGGTAGGGGGGTTACTCAATTAATCCGGCATCTGTCTTCTCTACCTTTATAAACTATTCCTCATGCAAACAAGGGATCTGGCTTCAAGAGAGGTATTGATCGAGGCAGACCTTTTGGGTTAGGAGCAAAGCCTCTTTAATTACTTTGGCTGACTTTTGTTTTTTACAACGTCTCGGGACCCATAGCTCCCACATTTTAGTGTTGTTATCACTTAGCTTATATTTAGAGCTTTCCTGTGCCAGAGGAATCATTGCCCACCCAGTCTGGTTTTCCCTTTTCTTGGCGCAGAAGTAAGGCAGAGAGAGAAAAGCTATTCCTCTGGTTTCTCTAAGGATTTGATAACCTCTTCACTCTCCTTAGCTAGAGGTGTTTTGACCTTTAATTAAAAGGCAAATTTGTTGTCTTCCATTCAGAAGACAGCAAATAATGATCTCATTAAAATGAGGTTAGTGTTTCAGGCCTTAGAGCAATAAGAGCTGAAGTCTCATTAGTAGCTAACAATCCAGAACACAGCACATAAATAAAGCTAATATGGCAGAGCAAAAAGCCTTGGTGCATTAAATTTGAGCAGAATCAAATGTTTACAGTCAATGATGTCTGGGGCATGAAGTTTTAATGTACTTAATAAAGGAAAGCAAATTGCTTCCTATTAGCCATGAAATGTTCCCGGAGAACTAGCGCCCACCCCTCCAAAAAAAGTTTATTATGCAAATGAAGGAGATAGTTGTAATTAACAAGGACATTTTGGGAAAATATCACTCCTGCCTTAATAAATGTGACAATTATGAAGAATAAAGACAAGGCAACTCAAACCTACAAAATGTAATTACACAGATGAATCTAAAATGCTGCTGAGTGGAAGCAAGATATAAATAAATAAAGAGACTTATCCTATGGACACTGAGGAGAGATTCATACTCCTACGAACAAAGGAGAGAAGCAATTAATATAATGAAACCAACAATTCCACAAAGATTCTGAGCAACTGAAGTGCTTCATTTGGTGGCTTTGTTGAATACTAACTGCTAAACTAGGCATTCTGATGTGAGCCTTTCTGAATGCAAAGATTCCTGATTATACTTTCCTTGAGAAGCAATATTTATTTCACCAGATTTGAAAGACTCTGTTCTTTAAAAATATATATATACAAAAAATCCTGAAACTACGTTGAGTTTCAATGAGAGGGAAATGGCTAAACTCATGGATGGGTGGAGGAGGGGGTAGCAGTATCTAAAAACAAATATGATTTCATATTTGAAGTCTACGAAAAGCATAATTTTTATTATACTTCTCAGTCCATTCCCACTTACTTCAGGCTGGCTGCCAGCTTTGAACCTTAGCATTTTAAAACTCTATGGCAGTAAGAGAAGGGGGTTGTAGAGAATGGGAAAAAGAAAAAGTGTGTTCTCCCTTTTCTTTCCTCCTGAATCATCTCTGGGGTGTTTTGATATTATAGCATACATCCTTTCCAACCTAATTTACCTGCTCGTGAAATATGCCTTCTCAGCTTGTTAGGCGTTTGAGCAAACCAATTCCATCTTCCCTACTATTGTTCTTTCTAAAAATTAACACTCATTGCAACATCTCAATATTTGCAGATTCTTGTCAGGCTCTTACGGTGGGTGGTGGCTGCTTGTTAAAACTTTTTTTTTATTTTAGTTTATAAACTTGCATACTTTTACTTACCTAGGGACTCCACTTAAGTATGTAGACATGCCTCCCTTATGGGTATGTGTGCGTGTTTTGCTTCTAAACCACCCCAGCCTTGCTGTTAGAAGTAATGACACCGCCAAACTTTAAATATTATAGCAGCACTGAGTATGCCTCTGGGATGTCGCTGCCATATGCTTCCTATCATACCAGTTTTAATCTGATTGTTTTCCCTGAATGCTGGCTACTGACTTCCAATACTTTTCTTTAGGAACAGATAAATAATGTATTAAGCACATATTACATCTAATTTAGAATAGATGGGGGGCAAAGTGAAGGGAGAGTTTAATACTAATATTTGCTGTTCAATATGGTTTATTTATTTTACACAGAGGACAATGTAAGCATTCGCACCCACTAATTACATTCAGTTTTAGAATACAAATTCAGTAAGCACGTGCAAAAAAATAAATAAATAAACCACATTTATTCAATTTAAATGTATACATTTTGCTCCTCCTATGGTTCAATAGACTGACAAGCAACTAATTTAGAAACAGTGGTTAACCTACGTAAAATATACCGGTAATTGAATGGGATTCATAGAATCATAGAGCTGGAAGGGATCTGAGGATGGTCTAGTCCAACCGCCTGCAATGCAGGAAAATGCAGTTGTCGCAAATGGGGCTCAATCCCACAACCAGTGTTTCTCAAACTTGGGTCTCTCTGTTCTTGGACTACAATTCCCATCATCCCTGACCACTGGGCATGCTAGCTAAGGATGATGGGAGTTGTAGTCCAAAATCAGCCAGAGACCCAAGTTTGAGAAACACTGACCTAGAGCATTGTCAGCACCATGCTCTAACCAACTGAGCTATCCAAACTGACCAACTCTAATAAATCTAGTGACTGCTTACATCTCAGAGTACCTAAAACAGGGGTTGCCAACATTTTTAGGGCACATGAAGATTTTTGAGTGAGTCCTGTGGGTGCCGCTTTCCTTTGGACACTGCAGCAGAGTTGATCTGAGCCTTGAAAAGTAGATAGAACTGAAAGAGAAAGTGAGGAAGACTGTCATATTTCCAACTTCCTCCTTCAGCTGTATGTACTTTTCAAGGGAAGAAAAGGTAACCGGCCCAAACCACTTCATGGCCTCATGGCAGTAAGGGTGGGAGTAATTGGTTCAGAGATTTGTGCATCTCAGGAGAAGATATCAAGGACACCATTGCATCCATAGGTGCCGTGTTGGCAACCCATGAACTATAAGATTAAAACATTAATAGCAAATTGACAACCTAAATCCAGTCCATCAGATAATTTTGAGGAAGGTCCCTTTGCACAAATGACTACTTCATTGAATAGGAGTGTTGGAGTGTTGCAGACACAGGGAGAAGTGTTGAAGACACAGGGAAACAAATCAGTTAATGTGCATTGGCAGAAGTTAACCCAGCTCCCTCTCTGGTGCATACAGCAAGTGCAAGTGCAATTTGAAACACAGATGGAGAAAACACAGACCTCAATTCAACAGTGAACCAGATCCAGATGTTCTGTCATCACCACATCACTAGGAGTTTCTGTGGTCACTGAACTTAGCCTGTGACCCTAAGCACACTTACTAGGGAGTAATTCCCGTTGACTAAAGTGGGATTTGCTTCTGGATAAACATGCAGGTGATTGCAATGCAAATTTATAAAATCTAATGATAAATTTTAAACTGTAATGTTAGTTTTCCTTAACATAAGTCTTACACCTGTTTCTAGGTTAGATTAGAGATGGGAAGTGGAATTCACTGATATATGATCATATTTGCAAGGATTCTAAATGCTATAGCCCAAGAAACATCAGTTTTAAAAAAGAGGCTTTTTTTTTTCTAAATGCGTGCTATTTCTTATTTGTTTCAGGCCTTACTAGAGACTCAAACTTTACTACGCACTCAGGTTGCAAATTTTACCTTCAACCTTGGATTTTCAGGAAAGTTTTACCACACAGGTAAGAAGGAATCATTTAGTTTCAGGTTAAGCAAGTGAAATACATTGAAACAATTTTGTCTTGGCATGCTCAGTAGCTGGTAACAGAATACTGAAATTATATTTCATTTTTAAAAAATAACGTTGTGAGAATTTCCCTCTCTAAATGTAATTTAACATTAGTTATGATATTGGAATTTTGAATGATTCATTCTTTAAAAAATATCAGTGAAGAAATTGCCCTTCATCATCAGGAAAAATGGTTCACCAATATATATGTTTGCTGACTAAAGAACTTTGATCTTCTGGATCTGGGTTGGCATCAGCAGTCAGCATTTTGGGGTACCTACCAAGAGTCCCTGCCCCAGCAATGGGGGCACTGACAAGAGTCCCCTGGAACTGCTCCCTCCCTTCTTCATTGCAATGTGCTTGTTCACCTCTTCTCCCTCTGGTCCAAACCATGGTATTAGTGACAGTTTAAAAGGAGTAGGTGCCAGTGCCCACTTCCTTGCTGGCTGGCTGGCTGGCAAGGAAGCCAGTGATAGCACTGATGAGGGGCAGTAACTGCAGCTGGTGAAATTGTTAGTGAGGATGTGGTCCTAGTGAGGCAGTGAAGCCCATGGAGTTTCTTGCCCAAAGTTCCTCCAAAGCCTAGAGCTGGCACTGTCAGGAATGGCTCTTCTGAATTGGTGAGTGGATTTCTAAAACATACTAAAGTAAATGGTATATACAGTCTCTCTCTCTCTCTCTCTCTCTCTCTCTCTCTCTCTCTCTCTGTGTGTGTGTGTGTGTGTGTGTGTGAATATGAAAGCACTGTGGATCATTCTCCTAAACAGATAATCTCAGTTGAAGGATTAAAAAAAAAGAAGTAGACATAACTGCCAGGTATTTATGCCAACGCAAGGCAAGGCAAAGCTGGTGCCATCTTTGGCTTTCTTATCCTGTCAAGCAGAATAAGAGACAGAAAGTTGTAAAACCAAGTTCTCTGTCCACTTTTGACAGGAGTCGCATTTGTGTGGTGCACATTCCGCCTTTGCTTCACACGGCTACGAACTGAGGTGACCAAAATACGTCCGCCGCCTAAGTGAGGAGTCACTGTGGGATTTATTTATTTTTTAAAGTGCACTGCCCTACCCAAGGGAGAAAAGATTTGGATTAAGGGGAATTTAAATTAAATGAAAAGAGGATTACTTCACCTTTCCAGTTCTAAGTAATTAATTGATTCTGCCCAGCCGCCCACTGATTCTGCAGATTAGCGTTACCTGCTTCCAGACTTCTTCTTGCATTTCCTATCTGCCCTCATTTGCTTATTTCACGCCTCTTACATGTTTAAACTTTACTTTCCCAATGTCATCCTCCTTTCTATATTTCTCCGTGAAGATACAGCTTTAAGGGTAAGCAGAGTTTTAGGGCAGTAAAATGCTCAGTGTTTTCCCCTTGAGTCTGGTACTGCTTCCTTGATCCAGGCTCCAACATTTTTCTTAGAAAACTGTTAAAACGGCAGAAATAAAGATACAAAAGGTATTGACCATGATCACACAAATGTGTGTATGGACATTTATTTTATTTTTAATTTATTACATTTCTATCTGGTGTACATGGTTCTCCCTCACCCCATTTGATCCTCACAATAGCCCTGGGAGGTTACATTATGGACATTTCTACAACATGATGACCATCAGCTTAGATACCTTTAAAAGGGATTTGACCAATTAATGAAGATGGCTGCCAATGGCATCTAGTTTAATCTAAACGTATTGCCTCCAGTACCAGAAGCAGCCTACAGTTGCAATCAACCCCCATTGCAAATCAGGTTTATTATCAAAAATTTACAGACTTGCAGCTGATTTGCAATGAGCAAATCAAACAAAAGCAGTTGAAAGACCTTAACACAGCGGATGCTTCAAGTGGTTCCCCCAAATTCAGCTGAAATTGCAACTTAAACTGGCTTCACCAGTCTCACTATTATTCAACCCCTTCATGACAAGCATCTTTAGCACATAGTAGAGAAGCCTTTTTCTGCTATGACCTGCTGCAAACGACAGTTTTCTTAAAACACTGGCCCTGCAGAATGCTACACAGAAATGGTTTAGCTACATTGATGGTGCCATGTCTATACTGGCCTTACTCTATGTGCAAATAATTTTGCAACCTCGGGCAAGTTTCTAAAAGCATACTGATGTCTATGGGGCGAATGCATATTGACAAAATCCTCTGGGGATTCAGGATGGCCTATTTTCTGCAGTTTGGGATTATCTTGTGGATGAGCTCTCACTGCAAGATATTTTGTGTATGTGGCAGCCGAGTTAAGGTTTCGTTCTGAAGAGAACAACTTATGAGAGAGCAGGTTGACACGCCACCTGAGAGAATATATGAAAGTAGCCAGTGGCAAATAATAAAACAAAGATTATTATCCAAGCTGTGAAAGCAATATGGGCTGCCCAGGGATTTGTACTTTTGCAGGTCTCCTTGTCAAGACTTCTGGCAGGTCGTCTTGTCTAGACTCTGCAAGGACATGCAATTGCTACTGTAGTGATGTCAGCTCTAGCGCTGGGGATCCCCAGGGACAGTTGCTGTTGCTTTTCTTATTCTTATTTAAATTTGTATACTGCCCTTCATCCTCTCACCAGCCAAGGTGATGATGGGAGCTGTAGTCCAGAAACATCTGGAAAACCGATTCCTATCATCCCTGACAACTAGCTGTCCCAGCTATTGGGACTTCAAGATACGGAAGCTTGGAGTTCAGTGGCGCAGCATACTAAATACATACCAAATAACTAATAAATCTCCGGGCAGAAAGAAAAGCAACTATGGAAGTCATCCAAAGCATATGTCCAGTGCCAGTTCAGCGCTCTACCTGTTCCTCATCTACCTTTCTCTAAAATACAATTTTTTCACATGCAAAGCTTGTTGACATCATCTCCAGCAAGCGGAAGGAGGTGGCTGAAGGCGGACATGTTCTCTTTTCTAAAATGTCTATCTCTCCCAGAACAGTCCCTGGTCAGTTCCTCAACTGATGTTAAGGCCAGCTATAGAGAGCCACCAGCTAATTTCCCTAACAAAGAGAAGGTACTGGGCAATTTTTCCAGGGCTATTAATAAGACTCCAAGACTCTTATCAGGTATGTGTCAGGCAACCTACACTGACAGAGAATCTATTCAGGGAAATCTTAGATCAAAACTCATTGAGTTGGAAGGGATTCTGAGAGGCCGTCCAACCCAACTCCCAGTCCCATAACAATACGCAATAGAATAGGTTTTCTCCACTGGTGACTGTGCATTAGCAGAAAGCACTTATGGTTGCACAACACAGAGCATCTGTTTTTTACTGTCTCCTCTATCCACCAAAGTCTCTGTGCCCCCTAAAAATTTGTTCCTGGAGCACTATGCAATATCACAAGGGGAGAAGCTGCAGGTAAGGGGAACTGGCAAAAAAAAATATGCCTTGCCTTGCATGAGCGGAAAGCACTTTTCTGCTGGCCTCAGGACCAAGTGAAGACGAGGCAAGTTCAATTTAGCCATGCTCACAGACTCACGTCACTAATCCTGGAAGGCGCTCGCCCCCCCCCCCCAAGTGCTGGCTCTTCCCTTAAACATGATGAGCAATAAAAGACTCCCTTTAAGGATAGCCAGAGTTCCTCACTGCCTGCATGAAAAATAGCGGAGCCTGGAGAATACCCAGGTTAAAGGGGTTCCTTCCAGGTCAAAGGGCATGATTTCTGTGAGACCTGGCACAAGCTGCTAAGAAATTGGAAGATGTCCTAAGACTTACTGACCATCCCTTAGAAGTGTCTCAGTCATCTCATAAGATTGTTGCAGAATAGATAACACTTTGGCAATCATCACTCTTGGATTTAAAGTAATATCCTTCCTACAAGAAGGAATACAAGTTCTTCCCATCATTTATATCAGCATGAAGCATTTCAAATGTGAGTGTACTTGGAGGGGTTGGTGAAGGAAGAGGTCACTTTACCAACCTCTCTAAGTCCATCCACATTTGAAATGTTTCATGCCAATATAAACCCTGGAAAGACCTTGTATTTCCAGTGCTGTTCACTTTCCTAATGAGAAAGATTTTACCCCTACTGTTGCTCATTCTGACTTATTTTCTTTTTGTTCCACCTGTCTGTCTTGTCTGCCTTTTGGGAATTCACTGATAAAATTTGTATCACATACCGACTGTTAATGCTTTCTATTTCCCACTTGACTCAAACATTATCAATATTGAATTTGTGACTATTCCAAGACTGAGATGGTATGCATGTGCCTACAACTATGTATTCCCCAGCAGTTTAAAAGGCTCACTCAAAGACCATGAAACAACTCAAGGAATTGAGGCACGTCAGTGCCTTCCATTAAGAGACCTGCTGTGGTGCATATGCCAGGCGTCCTAGATCCAAAACACACCCCACTTTAAAAGTTAGCATTGTTTTTTGTCACTTCAGCTTAGAGGCAGCATGTCAAAGTATTCTCCATGCAAACATACACTTTATTGACTCATTATAAATAAAACATGGAGAGGTATTCTTTAATTACCGTAAATGTGGCTTGTTTACCCAAGGAGGCTTTTAATGTAAGATGCTCAACATGTTTTATTAGCACATTGAAACTGCTATGCCTTATTGACTTCTTCCTTAATGCACAATTCGCTTCTCCATCCCTAAAGTCAAGTTGACAGGGTTCCAGAAAGGAAGACAGAATTGTGAATCTGTCAGAAGGGTTATAATACTATCACAGTTATAAGAGCTCCACATAGCTATTGCATGCTACTTTTCAATTCTGCATTTAGGGATACATAAGCATACCACCCCCAACAACAAAACATGCTCAGTCAGGGTCTTGAAGGAAGTGCTTTCCACCTCCTTTGTGCACCCCAAAGCCCTTGGGGGAGGGACAGCTGGAAGTGATGTCCTTAGGAATGAGGCCAGCAGGTTGTGAGCAGGAGGTCCTGCTTTCATTGATCTTGCTTATGTCCATTGGAAAATGAGTGCTTGCTCTTGTTTGAAAGCTCACAACATCCCATGCCAGCCAGCAGTGATGCATGGAGGATGGCCAACAGCTGGAGTAGGTCATTGTCAAGATGTCCTGCTTGTGAACTTCTTAGAGGCATTTTGTTAGCCACTGTGGGAAGTAGGATGCTAGACTAGATTGCCCTTTGGTCTAATCCAGCCGTGCACTTACATTCCCAGTTTCAGAACTGAACACAGACCTGGAGGACCACAGGCTTTTAGTACAATAAGAGAAACACATGCTGCCAGCACTACGGAACCTAGATAACAATATTTATGCCAGCATTGCAGTTTAAAAAGGAATTGCTTGGGTGATAAACCTGGGAAAGAAGCAGCTTTAATAGAGTTTAATTGTTGCTTCTGCACTGATGCATATCACCACTATTCAAAGAAACCATCACTCTCCAAGTGTCATGCCTTATCCATGAAAAATGTGAACTTTTGAACATTTTCTCTTGGTAGTCTAGCCCTTAAAAGAGAAGAGACAGTATTCATCATGGCTGACATTTATAAAAACATTTCTATCCCACCTTTCTGTTGCAGCTAAAATACCTTGAGTCGGCTTATATCATAGTTTAATCAATAAACACAACAAAAAGACAAGCAAAGATGCATGAACAGGAAGCCTTACTGACATACTAGAATAACAATGGGACAGTAGCCATAGAAAAATCTAGTATCAGCCAGCAATAACAACATCAGTAAGCATTTGTATAGTGCTTTCAGGTGTTCAAGGGCTACATAGGTATTGTTAGAATTCCATCATGTGGAAGACAACAATCCCATGACTGGTATTACCTAGTTGTAATCCTTAAAGCAGCCCCAAAACTATTAATTAATTAAGTTAGTGTTATTATCTCCCATATTGCAGATGGGGAGACTGATGACCTGCCACTTTTCCTCAGGAAAAGCCGCTCTTTACCACTGAATTGGAGCAAACATCAAATGGGTTTTCCACGGAATGATATTTGTTCTAGTTCAGTAGTAAAGAGTGGGTTTTTGAGGGGGAAACTGCTCAAATCTATACCCAGAAAGCATGGGACATGCTTGGATCCTTGCTTTCTAGGCACAGGACAAGCAAAGTCTGGAAGAGCCCTGAGGGAGTGTAGCTTGCTGAAGGCAACCCTGTGCGTTCAAAGCAGATGGAAGATTTGAACTAGAGACTTTCTGATTTCTAGCCTCTGTGTGCCCATTGGGACTGGTGTAGCAGAAAGCATAGAGGCCAGCAGTAGGCAGAACCAGAGCCAATGGCAGGCAGAGCCACCTCCTGATTGGCAGTAAAACAACAGCAGGTGGATGCTGTCTGAGGGCAGACTCCAGTTGGTGAAACAGTGCCCCATTCACCTAATGAACTGGCCTCCACTGCTGTATGCTAGGGGGAGAAATCTTCAGGGTGGAGACGAAATGGATTACATCCTAGGCTGTGCAACAAAGAAATCCCTTCATGCATTTCCACCAGCCGTAGTTATGATAATGGCAGGATGTCCAGCTGATCTAACTGGATTTTGCATTGATTATGACAGCTCAGTCTTGAGCTATGCTGGTAGACTGTAACAATGCAAATCTTCAGGTTCTTATAATCATGTCCAGTGTAAACAGCATATTGGTGCTTTTTAAAAAAATTACCTGTTCTGAGTTCAATACACTTGGGATAATGATGTACTTGTGGCATATGGATGTGCAACATCAGCATACTAGCACTACATACCTATGGGCCACGGATCCATACTGTGTTAATGTTTCCAGACACCCAGTTAATATGTGATGCTCAGTGCATGGAATCCTCCACAGGTAACCATTCTTTGATGTTGCCTTTTATAAACATGATATGGAAGTTTATTAAAAATGAAGTTACATAAACTCCAGTATCAACCATCGTCAACCTGGAAAAAGTTGTTCATGTCCACACCAGAAGATAATATTATTCATTTTGTAGGAACCATTGAGGAAGATGAAGGTGATGATCTCTTGTTGAGTTCTGTGGATGAGTTCTGGTGGTTTCCTCACATGTGGAGCCACATGCAACCTCATCTCTTCCACAACGAGTCATCCCTGGTAGAACAGATGATCCTCAACAAGGAATTTGCACTAGTGAGTAACCTCTAGTTTTTACAATATCTTTAAGAGCAGGTCCACATTGCTTATTTTACAGATATCATCCTTGAGGTAATGATAAGATCCATGATTTTAGTAGGTCTAAATCAGGGGTCCTCAAACTTTTTAGACAGGGGGCCACTTCACTGTCCCTCAGACACTGTTGGGGGCCAGACTATAGTTTGAAAAAAATATGAACAAATTGCTATGCACACTGCACATTTTTGTAGTGCACAAAAAACAGGAAAAATACAATACTTAAAAAGCCGCACCAAAGTTGGATAACTTTACCCTTGCCCCGTGGGGGGGGGGGAGGTGACATTAGCCAGATTTAGGGGCATTACTCTCCCTCCAGACTAGAGGTCTTGCATTCAGTTCCCAGATATGTGAGGTGTGCATACATTTGGTAAGAAGCCCATTGCCAGTAGCTTTGCCTGCTGAAACATCTGGGAGAGGCTCCCAGTGCCAGCAGACAGAACCGTGGTAGTTTGAAAGCTGCCCTGTGAGGCAGCTTCCTAGGGCTCAGCACCTGTTTTCCCACCTGGGGGCCTCATTCTGCACAGGTGCCACCCACCTGAATTTTAAGGAGTGCCCTTCCAGTGGGTCACAGGACAGGTTGAAGGCCAAGGTGGCAGGGAGCAGCATCCTCTTGTGCGGAAAGTCCTCCTCCTCAGCGGTGCCTGTCCTCAGTGAGGGAGAAGTACCGCCGGGGGTTGAGGGCTAACCACGGACACCCATGCCCCATGGAAGAGGTCCAGGCTGAGCAGGCTGCTGGGTGTTACCCACAGGGTCTCACTGTCCTCGCCTCCCCACAGGGCAACGTGACCCCGCTCCGCCTTCACCAGCCACTCCCCGCCGTGTGTCCACGTAGATACCGGTGGCAGCAGTAGCACCCTGCTCCGGTCCCGGCTCTCCCCATCATCACCACCACCGCTGCCCCTCAGCTCAGTCATGGCCAAGCGGGTACAAGCGCCCGGCAGCCCTTGCAGGGCCAGTTAGGCCTCCAGCACCAGCAGCCCCGAGCCCAGCAGCGTCTCCCCATGCCGTACCAGGACACTGGAGCCCGAGGCAGCCGCAAGTCACAGAGTTCGCCCTGCCTCTGCCGCCAGTATCAACACCCAGCCTAGCAACGGCGGCCTCCTCATGGGCCAGACCCACACGTGCCTCCCTGCCGCCAGGGTCAGCTGCCTCAGGAAGGCCCGGCCCAGCCACAGCTCTGGCCCCGAGGCCGCCTCAGCATCCAGCAGTGCAGCGCACAGCAGCAGTAGCTGCTCCTCAGACCCCGCCAGGTGGACAGCCAGCACCAGAGGGCCTCCCACTGCGGCCGCCATCGCTGCCACGGCCTACTGCCCATCAGCCAGGGCCACCAGCAGCCACATGGCCACGGGCAGGTCCTGCAGAAAGGGTCTACCAGGCTGCGCAGCACCACCACCGCCATAGAGAGACATGGAAAGGCCATCACAGCAGTGGGGAGAAAGCCTGGGAGGACCAGAGAGAGAGAGAGGCGCAGGAAGGATCACCCCTTCAAGGGCACTTCCAGCCCGACTTTGGAAAATGCCCAGTGCGAAAGTAGACATGCAGATAACTAGAGATACGAGTGGGTAGAGTGGAACCACTGGCAAGGGTGGGCTCATGGGGGCGGGGCGGGTTTACGGCCCTAACGGGCTGAATCTGGCCCGTGGGCCATAGTTTGAGGACCCCTGGTCTAAATCATCTGTTTTTATACTGTTCTTATGCTGCATTTTTCCCTACATTTTATTCACCATAAGCACCTTTGATCATTTCCTTTTTTAAAGTGGGATATAAACAATTTAAATATTTGAAATAAATAACAATAAGCACTCATGCCTTCCCCATAAGCACCCAGAGAATCTTGATTTGGTGGTGATACTGAAAAAATCATTTTTACCCACCCCCACCTACCTACCACCACTTCATTCCAAAACAACTATTCCATGTTAACAGACATGCTTTGACATGGAGACTCATGCCTCACTGCATTGGCCGAGGAAGGTCCATAGTTCAGTATAGCAGTTGCTTTATGTAGGATGGTCCTGAGTTCATGATAGGGCTGGGGGAAAACTCCTGTCTAAAACCTTTGAGAGCAGCTGTGAGTTAATGCAAATGATTCTGAGCTGGATGGACCAATGGTCTGGCTTCTTATAAGGCAGTCCCTACATGATGGAAGGTGGAACATTTAAATCTTTCCAGTCCTTCTGTTCCAAATACACAAATCCCAATATATTGGTTTATTTTGTACCTGAGACACCAGATAACAAGCTGCTGAGGCAAAATACCAACTAGGAAAGAGTTTCATTTCCTCCCCAAGAGCAGAGCCAGTGTGGTGTAGTGGTTAAGAGCGTTAGATTCATAATCTGGTGAACTGGGTTTGCTTCCCCGCTCCTCCACTTGCAGCTGCTGGGTGACCTTGGGCTAGTCACACTTCTCTGAAGTCTCTCAGCCCCACTCACCTCACAGAGTGTTTGTTGTGGGGGAGGAAGGGAAAGGAGAATGTTAGCCGCTTTGAGACTCCTTCGGGTAGTGATAAAGCGGGATATCAAATCCAAACTCTCAGAATCAGAAATAGTATCTATCATTTTCAGAGTGTAGCCTTTATTCTGAAGCATTATGTAATTATTCAGCCCATCAGTAAGATTTCAGTAAAATGGTAACTGTTCTTACGTTTCCCTAAATATTGAAACGGATGTCAATTTGTTAGGACGGGGGAAGCTGAATTGCATGCTTCTATAAGCCTTCTATAAATGCACAATTTCTAAGAAAAGTTGTCAAGATGTGATGTTGCTATTTATACCAAAACTACCATCCAAGCTGGATGAAGGGAAGATGTTTCTGGCACATACAGTGTAATCATAAGTGGCCCACTTGTTTGGGGTGGGTGGGTGATAAAATTCAGCATAGAAGCAAAATAATATTTACACTTACATCACTGTCAGAAGCTTTTTCGGCCTTAGTTACAGCCTCTCTTTTCTGCCAAGTGTTGCCTTCTCAATAACCTCAGCCACCATCAAAACCAGAAGGGAGGCGAGTGTTAGAAGGCAATAATGGAAGGAAATGAACTGTCTACATCAATCAAAATATATTCATGCAACTCTACCTGGATTTGCAGATGCCTTTTTGAGACAACATGCTGATATTACATACACATAAACATTTTTATAGTGTTTTTCACATCAGCATAGTTCTCAGTCTCCTTACCTTAACATTGGGAAACTGGTCATGCCACACAAAGGAAAGGCTGTAGCATTGCTGTGCATCCCTTTTTAGCACTAAAAGGTAAAGGGACCCCTGGCCATTAGGTCCAGTCGTGACCGACTCTGGGGTTGCGGCGCTCATCTTGCTTTATTGGCTGAGGGAGCCGGCGTACAGCTTCCGGGTCATGCGGCCAGCATGACTAAGCCACTTTTGGCGAACCAGAGCAGTGCACGGAAACGCCGTTTACCTTCCTGCCAGAGTGGTACCTATTTATCTACTTGCACTTTGACGTGCTTTCAAACTGCTAGGCTGGCAGGAGAGGGAGTGAGCAATGGGAGCTCACCCCGTCACAGGGATTCGAACAGACCTTCTGATCAGCAAGTCCTAGGCTCTGTGGTTTAACCCACAGCACCACCTGCCTCCCTTTTTAGCACTAGGCTACTGCTAAATTTGATCCAGCTGCAGTGCAGAGCAATGTATCCTATATGCTAATAGTAAACTTAGACACTGCTATCAACAAGAAGGATATATCAGGAGGCTCAGAGGACCTTCACACACACACACATTTTTTGGGAGGGAATTAAAGCCCGATAAGGCCCCAAATCTCACTTCCACCCTTAGATAACACGAGCCATACCACATGCTCTCATTGTGGTTCTTGGCTCCCTTTTCCAAAATGCACCTTAAGCTCTTTCTTGCAGTCAGGCATAAGACAATGCAGCTCCATGAATATCTATCAGAGCTCCCTACCTCATCCCTATTGATTTCAGTGGATTGTGGCCAGAATATTCACAAGCCACACAATCATTAAAGCTGTAGTCCTCAATTGCACACAGCAGGATAAACATGTAATACTTTGAAATACTGAAAACTGGAAGGGTTGTTGATAGGTTCAAAATGAAAATTTTTTTTTGAAACTTTACAAAAATAAAATAATGCATTAAGCTGACACAGTAAAAAAAATAATCTCCTAGGGGAAGTCTCAGCCTGCCTGAACAATACTAGAAAAAACACATTCCAGTGCTAAAAGTAGATAAGAGCTTATGCAAATCTTTTAATTCAGCAAGGTGACAGCTTAGAAAATGCTGACAGCCAACATATCACCTCTCTGCTTTTGACAAAACTGAAAGCAATTCAGCAGGGATCGCTTCTTCATCTAGCCTTGCTATGCCAACAGAGGACAAAACGATTTTCTTTCTCAGACTATTAGAAACATTGGATCTTCTATGTTAAAACAGACAGGTGTCTGTTTCAGGGCCACAAATACATGGGACTTTCGGGGCAGCTTCCTCTCTGGGGTATTTCAATTCAGGCCACTCCCAGACATTACAGCTGTAGGTTGTTTTTAAGTCCCTATCTTTTTACTTGAGGCAAGTATGCAGGCAGTAAAACCCAATTGGGTTTTATTATGATATGTCGAGAACACTTCTGTTCAAGAAGCAGGTTCTTTTATAATTTTTCAGCTAGTGTTCAGGCTTCTTTTTGGATGCACTTTCTCCGGGTTACAGATCCTCCAAACTAGACAGGATATCAAATATGTGATTGACTTTAATGTGTCAGGGGTGTTGTCATCATTGTTCTAAATCACACCCAACAAATTTAGTTGCCATAAGTCAACAGGCATATTACTATTCTTATAGTACTGTAACAGGAGCGGGTGGTGCTATGGTCTAAACCACTGAGCCTCTTGGGCTTGCTGATCAGAAAGTCAGTGGTTTGAATCCGCACGATGGTGTGAGCTCCCATTGCTCCAGCTTCTGCCAACCTAGCAGTTCGAAAGCACACTAGTGCAAGTAGATAAATTGGTATCGCTGTGGCGGGAAGGTAAACAGCGTTTTCGTGCACTGCTCTGGTTTCCGTCACAGTCTTCCGTTGCACCAGAAGCAGTATAGGCATGCTGGCCACATGACCCAGAAAGCTGTCTATGGACAAACGCCGGCTGCCTCAGCCTGAAAGAGAGATGAGCGCTGCACCCCATAGTCACCTTTGACTGGACTTAACAGTCCAGGGGTCTTTTACCTTTACCTTATTCTTATATTTACCATTGTCTCTGATTTGGCCTTGCTCCATAGCAAGTAAGAAGTTACATGAATCATAGAATTGTAGAGTCCACCTTCCTTCAGTGCAAGAACCTTTTGCCTTACCCTGAGCGTAAGAGTCTCATGATCTACCAACTGAGCTATCCCAACTCATCCATTGTTCTCTGTCATCATCTTGATTCAAAAAGCATTTGGTAAAGCCTTTGATGCAAGGAATGTGCCTAGCAGAACTGCAAGTTTGAAAGGTGCTCATTTAAGCATTCAAACTAATGTACTGAAGTGCAAAGAGTACTGAAGTGAAACAACCAGTACCATTTTACTTTTAGTAAGAATATCCGCATGTAATAGGGAATCCCTTTATATTTTCTACAGATGCCAAGTCTAAAGCCAGAAGTGTTAAGAGTAAATAATTCACTTTGCAAGGGCACATATTGCACTTCTAGAACTTGTGAAAACAGGAGGTGACTAATTTTGGCATTTTGACAGAAGCAATGAAATGTACAGTATCAGAATTTACTGATGCTTGAATGGATCACTCAACCTTATGTAAACATTCCAATATTTTATAGTGATCAAGCATCAAAGATCCCTTGTTCACTTTACATTTTCAGTATGGAATATAGCCTTGTTTTTGTTTTGTTTTTTCAGAAAAAAGGCCACCGATTTATTACATATTAAATTTCATCTCCAGCAACTAAGAAGAGAAGGATATTAAATTTCCTTTCAATAACATGTTAGCTTCTGTCCACTTTATTTGATTTTATCCTTCTCACTTATCAATCTAATATAGACATAGAGCTGTTTTGTTTGTTCAGTCAGTTTTGGGGAACATTTCCCTACTCTTGTAAATTTCCTCCAGTGTGTCTTAACACTGAAAAAACCTAACAGCTACTTTAGTTGACATTTCCAAGGGTGATAATAATTAACACCTTTGCTGCTTGACAAGGGCCCTACTGATTTTTTGTCTTATGCATTTTTATTGGCATTTCAAATGAAGAAAGGAACAGTCCAGTAAATCATGTTGTCTGCTTGGCCAAATAACAGGGTGCAACAATTATTTGATCATAGGATATGGTTATACACGTTGTTGTTTTTTAAACACAGAACAGTAATTCTGGAACACTAAAGTCAATTGGATGCCAATTAGAGCATGGGGTGTTCAGTTGGGCAAGGCAGTTAAGCCTTAAACCCCATGCAGATGCAATTTGATAAATGAATTCTAAAGAAGCAAGTTGAACTCGGACATGATGCACCTGCCTCTGGCAAAATAGCTTGCCTTAAATTAGACATGACAATCTTGCTGCCTTGGGGCAAGCCCTGAAACAAGGTGCAGGTTATCAAACCCTGGTAGGTGCTGATGAAGCTATTCCCCAAGGCTATGCCTAGAAGGCTGGACCCTTTTTCACATCAGAACCCTGGGGGTTTAAAAAATTATTTTTAACAAGGGGAAGTGAGTCAGCAGTGAAGTTGTGAGCTCAAGAGCAGGAGCCCAGGATAAGGATCAAGAAAAGGTGAAGGAGAGGGAAAGTCATAGAAGAAAAATCCTCTACAGTGCATTGAGCTAGTTCTTGAAAGGAGCAAGAGACCAAGCTTTCAAGTTACACCAAATTCTTCCCCGGTGTTTTCAGAACAATTTGCATTGTGAGATTCATGGCTGCATAGGTCACTTCGATACCGTACATTTAACATGCTCTTATAGCAATTTTCAGTCATGTTTTTACCCTGAATAATGATGCATCAGGTGTTCAGGTTGGGCTTCAATTACCCAAAACTGTCTTAGAAAAGAGAAAGACTTTTCTCCCGGTCCTTGGCCAGGGAGCAAATAACCTGCTGTCTTTCATGTCCAGAAGGGTGAAGAATGCTTCTTCACATGCCATCATTGATTCCCTTGCCCTCACTTAGTTGGTTAGCTAATCAGGCGATCCTCTAAAAAGTTGTTTTTCTTTTCTTTTTTATAAATCATTTTTATTAGTTTTCCAATAAGAACATCCAATTAACAAAATCATCAAATCAGCCCAGATTGGAAGATTGGAATGAAGTCAAGAAAATCTGCGCTGGCAAATTGACAGTTGAAAATATATGTATACACAAATAAAACTATACCCAATGGATGAAAGGACATACGATCTCTGACATGACTGAGAATCGCACAGCCAGGGAGGGGGAACTTTAAAGCGTTAAGATCCGAATGTGGAAAATATGAGAACAACAAGAAGAAGGCAGAGATGAAAATATTGGAGATATACTTCAGAGGTCCAGAGTATGGGAAGCCCCAAAAATTAATAATTTGGATTGTAATTTGGCTGTTTTTTTATTTTATTTTATTATTTTTAATTGGATTATGATAAAAAGTTATTTTTCAATAAATATAGCCTTCTTTACCACCTGAGGCTTTTTTCTGGGTGTGGGGGCAAGCTGTAGATATTGTACTAGCAAAACTGGAGAGTGGCTTGCAAAGCACCATTGGTGAGTCATTTGATGTGACACCTGGTGCTGCTTCCTGGCTAGAGGAGCTTACAACAAAGTCTGTCAAGCAGTTGTGGATCCCCTGGTTGACCCTTCTGCCTCTGCTCAGTCCTCCTGCCATAGAACCTTCCTTATATGTGGAAAACACACCGACTAGCAAATGACTGGAAAGTGATAGACAAAAATAAGTAGGGTAAGAGACAGGTGATATTTCTCCCCAAAGTGGTGCAGTTTGGAATGAATGCTTCCACATCATTGACCACTGCTTCCTCTAATGATAAACTTGTTGACATTTTATAGTATTGTCCTACAAGGAGTAGTGTTCTTTGTTTTTCGTCTCCAGGAACATGGTATTCCAACTGACATGGGCTATGCAGTGGCTCCACACCATTCTGGCGTCTACCCTGTTCATATTCAGCTTTATGAAGCTTGGAAGAAAGTCTGGGGTATTAAAGTCACCAGCACTGAAGAGTACCCTCATCTGAAACCTGCACGGTACAGGCGGGGCTTCATCCACAATGGCATCATGGTACATTGCATTTCCATTACTTCATAATCGTATCTTGGTAGAAATGACTAAAGCAATGCTATTATTCACATTGCTTGGAGTTTTAAAAGTGGTCTTTAAAAACCACCAGTGACAGAGAACTTTAAGAAGCTGCCACACTTGAATTGTACATTTTGCAATCCCAGCTGATGGTTCAGTTCCCTTCTGTGCTTTCACTAGAAACTGGGAGGGCACTTGAAAACAATATCCAACCTACAAATTTCTTTAATTAATAAGTGCAAAAAAATAAAATCCTTCAGTTTGCATGAATCGCTTTACAGAGGTTTGACTATAGGCAAAATTACTGATTTATTTTGCATAAAATTTTAAATGCCTCTGGATCATGCTTTGGAAAGAAAGGGAACATTCAGACAGGGAGCATGATTATACCTCAGAGCTATTCCTCTGGCTGCCCTTCTGTATAGGATAACAACATACTTTATCCATGTTGTCAACAAACTCAGATGGGCTGCATATTTCTCCTGCCAGTGTGCTGTGACAGGGTTCAAGCAACAGTCACCATTGCATAAAAGTGAGGCAATTCCCAGCCAAGGTACAGAGAGGACAGCTGCTTAAATTTTCCACTGAATGTCATGGCATGAGGTCAAAGCTGTTGGTCCTAGGTCATGTTTACCTAGATTAACTTGGCCCATCACTGAGGAAAAAAGGCTCTGGCTAGCTGGCAGCTGTACTAACCAAACTAGCAAGAAGAACAGATTGGAGAAAGGGGGGGGAGAGACCACAGATTAACATTATCTCCAAATGAAACGTCAAGGAACTTTTAGGCAGATGGATATCAGAAACACTTATTACATGCCATCAGTACTATACCAGTAGAAAATATGGCTCAATATGTTTAATTAAGGGTAGTTTCTTTCTGGATGTCACTATGAAACAGGTGAATTGATTACCAACATGTATTTTGAGCCCTTTATTGGTTTCTGAAATGGAGAAAGTTGAGCCACAGAAACAAACACACTATTGCAGTTCCCATAATGCTTCTGTGGTTGAAAGTTTTGACTTAAAGAAGTGGTTTCAAACCATTCAGCAGAAGTAAAGAGGATTACCTTTTCATGAAAAACCATTTATATCTACACTATCTGCACTGTTTGCGGAAGCAGTTATGGCCAGAGGTTTATTTGTGTTGAAAAAGAACTACATACATTGGAAGATGGAAATACAAATAGCTACTTGTGAGGATGCTCAGGGCATCTACGTACTCTATGGTGTCACTAACACTATGTACTAACACTATGTCACTAACACCAGGGTGATTCAGACCATGCTGTAATGTACGTACTCTGAATATCAGCAAGGGGATGATGACAATATGTGGTAGTGATCACTAGCTTAGATGGCTTTGAAAGGGGATTTGGGCAAATGCATGGTTACTAACCATGTTAGCTATATGGAGACACCAAGATCAGAAGCAATGTGCCATTGAATCCTAGCTGCTTAGGACCAACAATGGAAGGTTATTGCCTTCACCTCCATAGGCATCTGGCTTGACAATGTAGGAAAATAGAATGGACTAAATGGACCATTGGTCTAATCCAGCTGGGCTCTACAGTACTTACTTACTTACTTACTTACTTAGGTAAAGGTAAAGGGACCTCTGACCGACTCTGGGGTTGCGCGCTCATCTCGCTCTATAGGCCAAGGGAGCCGACGCTTGTCCGCAGACAGCTTCCAGGTCATGTGGCCAGCATGACTAAGCTGCTTCTGGCGAGCCAGAGCAGCACACAGAAATGCTGTTTACCTTCCCGCCGGAGTGGTACCTATTTATCTACTTGCACTTTGACGTGCTTTCGAACTGCTAGGTTGGCAGGAGCAGGGACCGAGCAACGGGAGCTCACCCCATCGCGGGGATTCGAACCGCCGACCTTCTGATCGGCAAGCCCTAGGCTCTGTGGTTTAACCCACAGCGCCATCCGCGTCCTACTTACTTACTTATTTGTTTCATAATATTTATATGCCACTTAATGGTTAAGAAAAACAACGATCCCCAAAGCCTTCTTTCCACACAAGCCCTGTACAGGTGTTAGTTGTATGAAGAGAAGAAGCATGGTGAAAGGGGTTGCAAGTTCCACACAACTACTCACCACATTTGCCCCTTTGTGTAAGTAACAAAGAGAGTTATAGGGTTTGTTTGCTTGTTTAATATACATATATGTGTTGTAGCAGGTTCCATATTAGGTGTTTCTACCTGCACAAGAGACAAAGTGGAAGATATCCTCTAAGACTGCACTCAGTAGCTGCAGTTTATATAAGTATTTATAGTATAAAAAAAAATTAAATGAAAAATGATATACAGTTTCTGTTTAGTCCATGGCACCATTTTAGTTGATCAAAAGCTTTTACATCTATTAAACTAACTGATTTAGTCAAATTAATATTAGATCCTATGAAATTTTGTGCTTAAAGATTAGGCCCAGGATTGAAGTGAATTAATTAGGGAGAGTTTTTAATGCAATTAATACCTCCTTCCCCTCAGCTGGATCTGGCCCTTTCTTAGATCAGAAAAAATAAATCTATGACATAATAGCAGAACTTCAATTATCAGGGGATCTAGGACATGGAGAAAACACACACATATAGATCTTTTTTGTCTTTATTTTCAGGTGCTCCCTCGACAGACGTGTGGACTTTTCACCCACACAATTTTCTACAAAGAATACCCTGGAGGGCCTCAAGAACTAGACAAAAGTATACGAGGAGGTGAACTGTTTCTTACCATCCTTCTCAACCCTGTATGTACTTCCTTTTGTTGTTATACAATTATAGTATAACTGATGTGGTGGTGGTGGTTTTCATTCCAAAGCACAAATAAAATCAGTTTGGTCTGAGACTAATATGAGCCTCATTATATGGAACAGCTGCATCCAGTACAATCACTGTGTCATATTAGATTTTTGAATGGTGCTATATATAAAAGATCTCAATATATGGTTGTGATTATGATATTGTAGTATTTAAATGCCACTTATTCAAAACACTTCACATGCAACATTTTGTCATAATGATCTACGGTAATTCCATTTCAGTATTATGACCCCCTTTTTACAGATACAAGGTGGGGTGGAAGAACTGAGCTAAGTCTGGCTTCCCTAATATCCTCTAGTGAGTTCATAGCAGGACATTCAAACCAAGGAATTCATGGTTTGTCTTAGGGTGTGTCTACGTAGAAGTTTTGAATTCACTAGGATTGACTTCCCGGTATGTATGCATAGGATTGCATCCTCAGTTTCTATGCTACACTAATATTTCATTTGGATATGTGCCTAGTCCTGAATTTATTTCATTTAAACTCCTTCTATTAACACAGCACAAGGGACGCGGGTGGCGCTGTGGGTAAAAGCCTCAGCGCCTAGGGCTTGCCGATCGAAAGCGCCTGCCAACCTAGCAGTTCGAAAGCACTCTCGGGTGCAAGTAGATAAATAGGGACCGCTTACTAGCGGGAAGGTAAACGGCGTTTCCGTGTGCGGCTCTGGCTCGCCAGAGCAGCGATGTCACGCTGGCCACGTGACCCGGAAGTGTCTCCGGACAGTGCTGGCCCCGGCCTCTTGAGTGAGATGGGCGCACAACCCTAGAGTCTGTCAAGACTGGCCCGTACGGGCAGGGGTACCTTTACCTTTACCTTTATTAACACAGCAGACACATTACAATATATTCTGCAACATTGTGTCTCCATTTCCAGTGATATTATGTCCATAAAAAACCCAAATTTCCTGCCCTGTAGAAGTGCCCACTCTTTCTTCCTAGACTGAATAAAGTCCAGGTATTTAGAATTTTGTATTGTAGGAAATACACCCAAGCAGAAAAGTTAACAGGAACTAAAAGACTGGGAGAGACCTGAACATAATGGAAGTATGTTGCAGGAACCACCCACATAAAGTAACAGAATAAATCTGCATATTTCTCCATTATGGGTAGCAAAGCAAAACATAAACCAGTGTTTCCCAACAGGGGAGCCCAGGATATTCCAAGGGGGCCACAGGTGAAAATTGTGTAAATAAAGGGCCACAATATGAGGCTAGGGGCCCACAGAGGGAAGTGAAAAGTGAAGGAGGGGGGATCATTTTTTAAAATAAAAAAAATCCTGATTGGCTGGCTAACCACTTGGCCAATCACAAGTAGGTAAGGGGGTGACCCACCAGGGCCTAGTGCATTTCCGGCGGTAGAGGGCAATCACTGAGGCTCCCATTTTGACCAGTAGAGCCCATGATCCAGAACCCCCAGGTCAGGTAAGTGCAGTGGGGAGGGGGTGGCAATGGGTAGGGCTGAGCGAGCCAGAGCTGCTTGTTGCTGCTGCCCAGTGGCAGCCTGGGTCTGACTCTGCAAGGTGCAGGGTGAAATCCACCCCAGTGCCTAGCCAAGTGGGGTTGTCTGGTGCTGCTGACTTGCATCTCGTAAATAACAAAGTGTCTACTCAGAAGAAAGCTGCACTGAGTTCAGTGGGCCTTACTTCCAGGTAATGGTCTGTGGGGCTATGGTGTTTTATCTAGGCAGCCAGGGCTCCTCTGGATGACAAGACCTTTTTGCACCAGGTCAGGGAGGACCACCTGCTTTTTAAAATTCTCCTATATATACAGAACTCCCTGTGAGCCTTTTGGACTGCATCTGTAGGTTTCCCGGTCAAATAAGTGCTGTTTACTTTTTATAATACATGGAAGATATATATGTTTACTTTTTATAATACGTGGAAGAGCCAGCGTGGTGTAGTGGTTACGAGCAGTGGACTCATAATCTGGGGAACCGGGTTCGCATTCCTGCTCCTCCACATGCAGCTGCTGGGCTAGTCACACTTCTCTGACGTCTCTCAGCCTCACTCACCTCACAGAGGGTTTGTTGTGGGGGAGGAAGAAAAGGAGATTGTTAGCCACTTTGAGACTCCTTAAGGGGAGTGAAAGGCGGGATATCAAGTCCAAACTAAAAGATGGATCTCCCTCGGGAGGTTCTGGACTCTCCTTCCTTGGAGGCTTCTAAGGAGAGGTTAGATGGCCATCTTACATGGATGGTTCATTTTTGGAGGGGGAAAAGTGTGTCCTATGGGGCGAAAAATATGGTAGGTTTAAAGATAAAAGAGCCACAGGAAGGGAGATCAGGGATCTCGAAGTTGCCCATCAACAGTTATCACCTGGACCACACTGAGGAAGCACACAGGTCCAGGTGTTAATTGTTGTGATGCATTTTCTATTTTTGGGTGATCCATAGGCAGCTACCCTAAGCTTTACTCCCTGACCCGGTGATCTAAAGGCCTTTTTCTGCAGTTGGTTCTCTGTAGGAGATAGATTACCTCATGCTGGTCACAAGCTTGCCTCTTCTTTCAATCTTCACTATTTTTGCAAGCTGTATGTTCTTCTTCATGACATAAATATCGTATGTTTCTTAATTTTCACTGCTTAGTTGATTTGTTCTTTGAAAGTACAGTCAACTTACTCTGAAAGTATATGAATATGGTAACCACACCTCCATGTTTACATGTTATCACAGTCGCTCATTCCTTTGTACTTAGAATGTATCATGTTATTTTATGACAACTGACTTACAAAGAAATGCCCTATTTATCAAAAATATAGGGCACTGAGCAGTAGTGATATTATAATTCTTGTTTGCCAATTTATCAATTTATCATCTGATCCTGAGGCTTGTCAATGAACTTGCTATTTCTTCACTCCATTTACATGCCTTCTTAACATACCATCATTTATCAGTCAAGCTGAGTCAGTAATTCACTTTCACCATCCACCAGATCTTTGGAGTTTCAAGGTTCCATTCATCCTAGCACAGTTAGGACCTGATATTTGTGATACCTTAAAATAATGTGCTGACATCCAAATCCCACTTGCACAAATGGGACTTACACTTTCTCTCCCTGTGCCCCCAAAATCTTGGGAAGTCTTGGGAAACCTCTTGAATAGACTGGGAGGTTGTGGAGCTGCAATGAGGTGGACAGAAAAGATTATTCCATTGTGTCCATTGGCATAACATCGGATCTCACCCATACTAGCCCCATTAAATGTCCCACTAATTTAAGACCTCCAACAAGAGTTGCCCATGCGTATATCTGTTACTTGATTTAAAGGTTATGAATAAACTGAGCTCTTGATGAGTATTTTTTCTAGGCCCAGACTTTTTAAATTTCTTGTGCTAGCTGTTTCTGTTCTTCACACAGTTACATAAGTAGATGTATTTCTGTCCTGTTCTTTTTCTGGACTGTTTCCGGTGCACTTAGCGAGTTGGTCTTATGTCCCTCAAAATATCCCAATTTCCAGTTGTCCAGAATAATTTTATTTTAAAGTGCAAGAAATTCTATTGGGATAGACAAAATTTTAGCTTTAAAAAAGTAGGTCATCATTTAAGTATGTGTTGTGGAGTCTAGTTTTAGACACCTATATATTAAAATGATGGTGTCTGGACTTCAGGAATAAAGTATGGTTTGACTTCAAAGAGATTTAGAGTAGATTCAGATATTCGGAGCACTTTTATTGAATATATGTTAAGTATAAGAGTACCTATACCTCAGTGTAAAGAGAACTGCTCTTTCTGAACTCTGCTTTTATTATTTAGAAGACATTTCTGTCTCCAAACTTGCTTATCACTGTCTCTACACTATGATTAGAAAATGTTCATTCCTTGACCAAGCCTTTGCTTCACTCTAATCCTTTCCAATGTACCTTCACTTCCTGCTTAAGCTTCTTATGATTTCCCCTGAACTACAGCTTGCTGAAGTTTCTGAAGTTCTGAATTCTGAAACTAGATTTCTGACTTATTTGATGTAATAGCACGCTGAAGCCTTTGATTGATTCACCATTTCAAGCATGCCATCACAAAAAATTTCAAACAGCTTGCTCTTAAAATGGCAAGTTTCTTTTTCTTTTTGCTAATACCCTGCATTTCCTCCAAGGAGCTTACAACAAGAGTTTCTCGTCTAGGCACTGGCCAAGGTGCTGAAGCTTGCATCCTATGCTTTCAGACCATCTCTGCAGTCTCGCCATGTTTCTCCTTGAGAAAGCTTTCACAAAGGGGAAGAGAGACTGTGGCCCACTTGAATCCCCAAAGGAAATTGCTGGCATTGAGAAAAACTTTGCAGAGCAGTGTTCACAGCAGCACGCCATAATATATCTTGAGTAAATTTACCCAAGAGGAGGCCTTGAAGAAGTCAAAGCATTTTAACATGAAATCTAGTAGACAATGATCCCTGTGATGCCTGTTCTGTCCTGTTGATTGGAACGTTCATGTTCTGCATGAAATGTCATACTTTCCAGCCATTCTCCACAAAATCATCTCTAGCCCATCTCCCCCAGTTTCTTTAGGGGTCTTTTTATGGTCTTCAGTTTGAAAAGAGTAGTCATTAACATTGCACTATTCCAAATAACAGTCTTTGTGTGACCAAGGAACTTCTTATGACATTATTTTTGATGCCATCCTTTAAAACAGGGAATGATGTGGTATCTTATGAATGTTGCTGGACTCTCATGAGGCATAGCCAGCAAAGGGCCAGAGTTTATGACGGTTGTTGTGTACACACAAAAAGTGGAGGTTACCATGTTGACTACAGCTGCTTTTGAGACACTTTGATATTTTATTATGTTTTTATAAGTGCTGGAAGCAGCCTAGAGTGGCTGGGGCTGGGAAAACCCAGCCAGATAGGTGGGGTATAAATAACCGCTAACCCTATAGAACAGATTTAGGGGGCACATGGGGGCATGCAGTGAGAGGAGAAGGGAAGGGAAGTTCTTTGTGCAAC